CACACACACACACACACACACACACACACACACACACACACACACACCGAGATAACCGTACAGCATGTTAACTACTGTCCACCCATGTTCTTAAAGGAAAGCGGGCCTCATATCAATGACAACTCCGTGTGTGTGCTGCGTACAGTCTCATCCAGGGTGAAGCGGTGGTAGATGCCAGCCGGCAGGGTGATCAGGTCGCCCTTTGTCATGGCGATCCTGATCCAGCGCTCCTCCTTGTCCCTGATGTCAAAGTAGGCCTGGCCGTCCAGGATGTAACGGACCTCATCATCCAAATGCAGGTGCTCCTCAAAGAACATCTTCAGCTGAGAAAACGGACACAAAAAAGACACAGCAGGCCAGAATAGTGGAATTATAAAAGTCAACAGCCAGTTCAAAGTGCTAGCTGTCCTAATGTGTCCCTGTCTCCACTGACTGACAATGATGGACGTAGACATGTCATGAAGCACTGTACAGCCTAACTAACTTCCCCACAGGTCATACAATCCTCTGATGCAGTGAGGACAGTTTACTTCACTCTAGTTCACTATCAACAAGCATCTCATCTAACAATGTGCCAGTTTCTCAGAATAAATACATAATCATCATTAAAAGGTATTGAGTGAGAACGTGCAGAGCTTTGCTTACCTTCTCCTCATAGTTGGGCAGTGTGTCCTTGTGAATGGAGATGATGTCCATAAAGGAGTAACCGTGGTCTCTGCGGAGCTGCTCCAGCTCTGGGTCCGTTTCATAGACGTCAGCATTCAGCTGCAACAACGGGACAACAAAAAACACAACCAAATAGTTTAAGAACTACAACAAACATGGTGGCATGTTTGTTGTCATTTTACAGTTGTTGAGGGGGTCACAGCTATCTAACCCGAAAACGTGATTGCGGACCTCCTGTAAATGAGTAAAGTCGATATAAAACACAAAGGTTGACTTTAGTAAGCTAAATAAAATGATTTTTAACTTTATCCGACAGCTAACCGTTCCGTGGAAACGCGCAGGCAGCAGCTAACGTGGCTGTGGCGTTAGCTTACCTTCCAGTGAAACACCCCGAGCGTCTTCAGGTGGCCCAGACTAAGGGGCTGATTTGGGGTCAGTCTGTGCGGCTTCCTCTGGTCCTCCTCGGAGCTGTCCATGTACCAGGCTTCCATCGCCATGATGACCGCTTTACGGCTCAACTGCCGGAGAAAGCTCAGGTGTCATGTCACGTGACTTCATTTGTAAACCGTGACGCCACCCATTTGGTTTATTATTTTATATTAATTACATTATTGTTCCCCTCACATATATATTATTTAAACACAAATCATTATTCTTAGAAAACCGTTAGGCATGTTAAAAACACGTGAAGTCATCTAATTTGATAGTTTTGATTTGAAGGGTACCACCGGAAGTGTTGGTAGTTGCTGATGTGAATGTTTTTGACTGGAGGAGTTGACTGAAGTGAGGTGTGACCGTCAGGAGTAGTCTCAATACTGCACTCCAGTGTTCATAGTGAGAAACTACATCTCAGTCTAGCTCACTGATTTACACCGGTCATTTCACACATCGCCTTCAGGCTGTCTCTGGTTTGAAATCCAGGACAGAGGCCTTCAGTGTATCAGGGGACCTATTCAATTGTTTTTTAATGAGCAAGGCATTCGAGCATTTATAGCTGCTCAATAGCTATGAAATGACCATGTAGGCCTAAAAATGGGGCATGCCTATGTTTAAGTTGACTTTTTTTTGTATTCACTACTCATTCCAACTCGTCCCTCTTTCTCATCCTCTCCAACCTCTACCATTACTGCCACCCAGTGGTGGGCCGTCAGGGCCAGCTAAGCCTTCTCTGCTGGCCTAAACAGAATCACAAAGTCATAGCTATATTATAATTTTATAATTTTTCATAAATACACTACCACTAAACAACGTCGGCTGGTGCGATCGCCGGTCGGAGGTTGGGCCGGCCGGCGGAGGTGGGATCCCGGCCCCGCTGTGAACCGGCGGCCGTAGACCGGCGAAATACAACTGGGGAGGCTCGACTGTCACTGGCGTCCATGAATCGAGAAGGACTTCTTACTGGAACTGAAACGATGTACTGGGATTAAACTCTTAGTCAACAAAGAATTTGGTAAGTGACACACTGCGTTTGTTTTTTCACATCTGCAGTAACGTTTTTATGAATAATATTTGATGGCTCGTGCTCTTGTGTGGTGGAATGTGTGGATCCGCTGCAGGTTTGCTGGATTGATGTGTCATGCTTTGTTGTCATAGAATATATGTGACTGGTTCTTATGACTGGTTGTCATTGTGTTAATTACGTTGATTTGACTATGCATTGTCCGTTAATGAAGCAGCGTCCCGTCATGCACGGATTCATGTATCTGCACAGCTGTTCAACTGTAGTAGGACAGCACAGAAGGCCCAGGTATAAAATGCACGGCCCCCCACTGCTGCCACCATCACCTGTCTCAGGCCGACCTGGAATTGAATGGAATAGATTATTAAGAGAGGAGGAGCCTGTTGAGCAAATATCATTATACTCCATATTTCGTATGTGTCTTAAATGTACTTCATGTTTTAAACTGGTATTTACTATTTTTGTGAACAACAGATTATAAAGGACTGCAGCACTTTCTAATTTTTTGTGATCAACATTGAATATTTAGATTCCTTCTTGTCATTCATTTGTCATGTGAACAAGAGGAGCTGGGTATTGAACCACAAGCTATCTGATATTACAGTATTTATGTCGCCCTCAAATGTATAGGTACCACTATCAGAACTATTTCATGACTTATAATCAAGCCATGTTAATAACAAAGAAGAGCTAAATGAATGAAAGTTGTTGATTGCTTCAGTGTCTTAAGTTTATTTAAGTTCATTGTCTTCAAGTTTTACATCAGAACAACTACTAGATTATTCATGTGCCCTTTTTGCTTCTTCTTTTTGGGACTTTGGCTTGTCTTTTTCCTGTCCATCATGCTTCTGTTGGGCGGTTTCATATTGTTTAAGTATGTCCTCGTGGTCCTGCATGAACATCATGACCTGAAGAGGAAACCGAAGAAAACCGTCAGTTTGTTTTCTGTCTCTCTGCTGTTCATAACCATCTCTGCTCTGTCAGGGTACACACCTTATCAAGCTGTTTCACTGTGTCATTCTTATCCACAGCTCCGTCTCCTTCTACCCTGTCACCTGTCATTTCATAGAGGCTAAGGGTCGCCATCTTAATCTGTCCCAGCGTGATTGTTTTCTTTGCAGCTGTTTCCTGAATGTTGTTCCACTTGCTTTCCTGTGAGGGACAAGTGCATTTCACACAAGATGGTACCTGCATATGTAGGCAACATTTGATTTGGTGTACGCTCAGTGTCATGTCTGATACCCAGTGTTTCGCTTCAGCGTGCGTCTCATCTAACTTGGTTTGGAGCCGGGACAGCAGTAGGTTCTTCTGCAGCCGCTGCAGACGAACATTGTCCTCCAGTGTCAGCAGTGATTCTCTCAGCTGGTCGACCTGCTCGTACGCTTTTTTCTCCCTCTCCTGTAAATCATCTTGAATGTGGAGAAGATTATGTATATGATCCGCGAGCTCCTGTCTGTTTTTAAACTGTAAAACACACACACACAAGTTAAAGTTGCAGCTCAAAGATCCAACTTCATACTCAAAACAAATCCATGACCACCTCTGCACACACCATAGAAATGATTTCACTTCTCTAAAAGAAGACATTTACCTGTAAGGAGACGGGCCCGGAGGTGTTATTTCACATAGCAATGCTATCTATGTAATGTTTAGTGTTCATGCCTACTGTTGAGGCCATTACTGAGAGATCAGATGAAATCAAGATTGCGGGAGGATTACCACCATGACTTAACACTTATTGCACCACTTCTAACTAAATGAGAAACGTTACCAAATTAGCTGCATCGATCTGAGATCCACCGTCACATTTTAAAATGGGGTTTGTTGCATCGTGGTACAATCTTAAAACAATGGAAACCTCTGTTTAAGTGAGTGGACCTTTTGATAATAGACTATTAATGTACGATAAACAAATTTAGATTTAGTTTCTCTGCGTGTAAAAGTACCCTACTCATCCTGCATGCCTGCTCCATGACGGCCTTGATTACGGTGTGTTGTTGTATCTGGCGCTCTTGCTCCTGTTTCTTCTCCATCACCTCGACACGCACCAGCTTCAGCTTCTCTAGCTCTGCGTCCAGCTGAAGGCCCTCTCTCCTCTCCTTCTCTGCTTCCTCAACAAGTTGTTCAACCTCTTCTACCTGCAGGGGAGGAGCTAGAGGGACTTAATTTTGCTGTTTGCTGTCCAGTTCCAGACATGAAATTGAAATCCATTACGTACAGCAGTACGTACAGCAGTCATGTGTGAAATGTTCCTCCACTGTACCTTCAAAAAGTTATCACAGCGTGTGTGTACTTTCTGCATTTTCTTCTTCAGCACGTGCAACTCATCTTTGCGCTGTCTGAGACTCTTCAATGTCTACATAAAAACACACATAATATATGTATAATAAACAGCGTAGCTAAAATAGAGACACTCAGACCCTCAAGGACACACACATCCCTTGTAACCACTAGGGGCGGGACTTCCTCTTCTCAGTCAGTGACATAAGCTGCTCTTATTCACAAATAAAGAATAGAGACTTCTCTTCAAACAACGTTGGTTACGATCAGGACTGAAGTAAAAGTGTAAAATAATATGGTATTTCAGAGCAGTTTTAGGAAGGGGACATGTTTAAGTGAGGCACACGCGCTCAGTGTGAAGTAACGTTATGATTTGAGTAACTAACAGTGAGTTAACTTAACTGCTGGCCGTTACACCGTGAGAAGTAACGTTGGGAGTTAACTGTTAGTATCAGTTCATCTCCGTACCTGGTGGCGCTGCTCGAGAATCTCGTCATGCTCCTCGTTCTCCCGGCGGAACCTCTGGATGTCGACCTCTAAGGCCACAGAGCGGCTCACATGACAGGCTGCTCTCTCCATCCCACCGCTGGATCCCTCCACCTCCGTCCTATTCACCTCCTCCTCCGTCCTGTTCACTTCACCTCCTCCGTCCTGTTCACCTCCACAGAGCAGGAGGTCGACAGTGAGCGCTCACACCGAGTCCTGCTGGGCTTCACACCTCCACATGAACTCGCAGTGAATCCAGCTCCTCACGGATGCTCTTTGAGTTCATCCGTCTCTGTTGTCTCTTTCAGACTGAGTCAAGTGAACTTGGTCCTTCTTGCTGTCTTTGTTTTAACGTTTATAGTTTTCACACGTTCTACGAGTGCAGAGTCCCTCGTTTCTATGGTAACGCAAACCAGGAACTTTGTAAACCAGATTTTACTCCCAAATGTATCAGACACATTCAAATGTGAACTCAAAGCACAGACCCACCAAAACCTTTAAAAACATGTTTATTTATTATTGTCATTGAATCTATAAATCAATCAAACATTAAAGCCTATCAATCAAGGAAAAGTTGATTCATTAATATTCTGAGAGGAGGAACTATTGTTCTTCTGTTTATTATTATGAGGGCCCGAGCACCGACAAATTTGGCACGCGAGCAGTCGTGGTGAAAATAGCCGTCTATGGGTGTCGAGCTGCGGCGTGACATTGGCTCGACAGCGCCCCCTTTGAGCAGCCCCAGCATTGCGCTTCACCTTCAAACTCAGAGAGAAAATACAAGTAAAGCAAAATGTTGTATTGAGACGTTGGTTATTGTTTCTGTAAGTTGGTATGCCATGAAAAAAGTCAAAGTATAGTTTGCCATAAAATGTCATAACAATCTCTTAGTATTATAGAACATCGTAAAATGTTCATAATAAAAAGTAGTATAGAATTCCATAAAATGTTACAAAATGCCTTAAGCCATAAAAAATGGTTCCGTATGCTATAAAAAATGTAAAAAATAAAATAAGTCATAAAAAAGCAATTCAAATGAATTGCATTGTCATAAAACAGTCATACAAATATCATAGTAGGCCTATAGTATATCATAAAAATGTCAAAATATAGTAGGCCATAAAAAGGTCAAGGTATAGTATATGCCACACAAAATATCTTTTTTTGAAGTAGATCGATTCAATTCCACTTGCTCGATCATATTCTTAATGCATTTGGTGTGTAGTGTCTCCTCTTCCAGCCTCACTGAACCTCCTGTTCTTGTGTCATCTCCCACAGACTCCAGTGGCAGACAGTAACACGACTCAGTGGGTTGGTTTTCATACCATCTTCATAAGTGTTTTGAGTCACCAGCTGCCACTGAGTTGTATACAGATATACTTTAACACTAGAATGACCATATAGTTGAATCAACACGTCTCTAAAACAGTTTCAACAAAAACTATAACCTTCATGAGTGTGGGATTTATTGAAGGAGTACTTTATTAGAATGAATCAGTTTAAGCTAGGTGTACCTAATAAACTGGCAACTGTGTCTGTGGGAATACTCACATTTTACATGGTCAAACTTTACTAACTGCTCTTTAAAAAACATTGACAGCACTTAACTTTAATCATATTATTTTATAAGCCAGTAAAAAAATGCCAAACGTTCGAAAGCATACAACAGCATCTTACACACATTTCTAGCTGCAAAACCCACACCAATAACAATCAATAACTTTGTTCTTGTACCTAGTTTGCAACTGTGGATACAATAAGCAAAAACCTAGCATTCAAATGAGTTTCATTCACTTCCACAAGTGTACTGTACATAAAGATGTACAGAGTCTCCAACAGTCAGTGCTACAAGTCATCTCCTCCTTTGCTGATCTGCACCACGGTCTTTCCGCGAGCGTGACCTTTCTCCATCTTCTCGAAGGCCCAAGGAACCTGGGGAAAGCTGAAAGTCTCCTCCACCACAGCCCGAATCTAGAGAGCACATAGAGGGAGGCAGAGGTCAAACGAGCCCTGTTTCTCAGCTATTGTGTATTTCAATATGAGTGAGGAAACTGTTTTCACATGATGCCTTCAATGATAACAATGAACTAAAGGCATGTTTGTGCAGGAGCATGCTCAAGTGAGAATCGTAACAAGATAGATATCTGCATAGAGAGTGATAATCCCCAGTTTAACTGCATGCTGTATCACAATGTAATCTATCACACCACAGTATCACCAATCATTTGTTGAAGTGCCAAATGCATTTATGAAATCTAATGTACTATAATCACAGATGGGCATGTCATTGCAGAACATGTCATTTGTTTTTTTATGAGAACGTAACGTGCTCCGCAGGTTAACATGGCATTAACGATGAGGTTTGGGGTCGGGTGTACCACACGGGAGAACATTTTCATCTTTACTTTACTTATTTATTGGTAATGTGGGTGAATTACATGCTTTAATAATGCTAATCAATATACATATCTTTTGACGCTTTGTTCCGCATGTTTTCACTGGAAAAATGTGGAATCCGTGTATATGGTGAATGGGGGCTACTGTGAGATCACAATGCCACAACAGAAGATTTAAATAACCAATGGAGTTAACTCTGCTGTGCCACGTGGGTAAATTGCACAGCAGCCTGTCTCTTAATGTGGAGTAGCAAGCATCGATCCTGCTGCTGTATGATGGCCACAGCTATTTAATAAAGTCGAACTAAAGGCATGAGACGGTGTCTGAAACTGATGCTTCAAGCCAAAAGAGCCCAATTTAACCCCTGATGGGCACGCGATGATAAATAAACTGGTTTCAGTTCATAGTCAGTCCCTGAACAGTTTAGAGAATACATCTGGTACTGTACCTGTCCTGCATCCACCATCTCTCTTACTTCATCCAAGGCAGGACCACTAGGTGCAAAGAACCCCCAGCGGTAGTGAACTCCTTTGACTAGGTGCTACAAGAAAACAGAAGGAGAGAAAAGACATGGCGCTGAGGTAACACTTGTGTATTTGTGTTCACAGCAGACACTTCACCGTTGGCCGTTACAGGTCTGAAGCTGTGAGAAAACAAGTCGTGTTGAACGGATCATGTTACTGTGAGACATTTAAAATGTGCTTATCCGAAACTTCGTCTTTTCACCACTTATTTTACGCTCTTCCTACGTGACCTGTTAGATCCTGTTGTAAAGGATCCATTAATAATAGTGAGAACTATCGACCTGTAGCCCTAGCTAGTGTACTTTGTCAGATAATTCTCAGTGACAGGTTAGAACTGTCGTCTTCATTAATGTCCACTAATCTGGCTTTTCCTATATAAGAAATGACACAACTCAATGCAGGCCTCCATCTTTAGAGTATGTGTGCCAGGAGACTGGGTGGAGATGCAGCCCACTTTCCTTTAAGCCAGGGGTCTGGGTCAGGGGTGAAACGTTTTTCAGGCCAAGGACCCCCAAACTGATAGAGAGATGGAGCAGGGACCCCCTACTATACATATTGTATAAAATTGTGTTTTATATTAAATTAAAACAGTATCTTCTTTTCAAATAATATTGCAGCGTGCGTCCTTATGTCTGGGATCTTAGTCAGCTGGGGACTGAATAGGCTCTTGGTCAATCACTGGGAACCTGACAGAGCCAGCATGTAACATGCGGCCTCGTGATTGGCACAGCAGCAATAGGGGCGGGTCCTCCTCTTGGTGTGCAGGAGGCTTGGAGGGACAGGTCCAGGCTAGTCTCGCGCTGTCAGTGAACCAGTGCCCACCTTGAGAGAGCTCCTGTGTGTCACTGAATGTGTGCATTTCTGACTGAAAGATAACATCTTCTGCCTCCATTTATCCATTCGCTACAATATATTGGATTCATGTTAATGTGTATTTAAAGACATTTAAATAAAAATAATTAAAAATAGTTTAGTCAACCAAACAGTTCACGACCCCCCTGCAGTACCTATGCAGACCCCCTAGGGGTCACAGACCCCCTGTTGAAGACCTCTGCTTTGAGCCTTTAACATCTGGGTAGGATTTCCTGAAGCTCATGACAAAAGCAGAAATGACATTCTGCTTTTATAGTGGGGGCAAACGCAAACATGTTGCGTTTGCCCCCATGTGTGTATGAACTTTTGATATGAAGGAGTTACTTAGTGTTTCCTTCGGGGCTTATTCAGAACCGAGGACACTGTGACAACCAAGCCAGCTGTCGGCGCTCTGGTTTTTCAATTCAATGTATTTTGTGTAGCCCAAAATCACAAATCACCCTCAGAGGGCTTTACAATCTGTACACATGTGGCATCCTCTGTCCCGGAACCATCTTTCCTTTTACAAACAGAGAACACGGTGTACTGTGTGCATGTGAGCGAACCAGGAGGTGTGAGTCCTGGAGGTGCACACTACCTCCTGTCTATAAACCCACAAGGTACATCCCTCTCCCATTCTTTTTTTACTTGTTTTTATTCTGCGGTGTTTCCATATTAGCTCTTCCATATTATCATCTCTCCAACCAGCAGCGTGTCAGCGAGTCATCAGCACGGAAACAATGCATCAGCAACTGGAAAAATTCACCTCTGCTGCGTCAGCCTGAATACTCGCTCACAGATATAGTGTGGGTGCTAATGAGACAATGCAGCTGTAAATTCACTCCTAGTCTTACTTATATATTATATTTTTTTTGATCAGCTTAGCCCCTTCAGTAGTCTATTGAGGGAGTTTAAGTTCAAGAGGGAGAGTGCGGTCCACGTGGCATTTCTCAGGCGGCGTTAAGTCGTAACACTAACTGGTTACACACGCAGCGGAAGGGGGAAAAGGGTATGCAATGGTATTGTGTGGAAAGCAACACACACCCAACTCCCATTGTGTTTAAGATAGTCATGGCTCTTATTTTGGCAAAAAAAAAAAAAAAGTGAAAGTGCAAGTTTCTCTAGGGCTGTCCCGGCCTGCTACAATCCTCCATCTAGCTACTTAACTTTCAAGTTCATGAGTAATTTAAAAACGTACATCGGCTCTGTGAGGTTGTGCTTTGGTATAGTGGCAAAACACAACACGTATTATCACCTCATAAAGTCGTTATGGGGCAAATGTTAGCTAATATTAGTGAAGTCCAATATTCTCAGACGATAGCCGATGGGTTCTGAGATTGCATTTCGGTTTACGCATTCCACCTATTTTGCTCTCCATGCGGACAGTTTACCTGCATGCACCCGAAGCCCGCTCAAACATGATTGGTCAATACTACTCGGACTACGAAACCAGAACGCTTCCGATACTAAAATCTTGTCCGGCTGCCCAATGATTCTGCATTTATATTCAGTTATGTTAGCTTAGAGAAAGTACTCCATACTATGTTCACCCGCTAGACGTTAGCTTTGTCCTTCTGCCGTCTTTTTTTCTCTTGAAAAACAAACCGTGATCCTGTTTCCATTACCCGTGTCACTGTGGCTAGAATTCATATCTGGGAGTACAGAATATAGACCAGCCAAATATTATGAGGGAAGCCTTTTGAAACTGTTTAACACTTGTATGTTTTACACTTGGATGTTTCTACCTGAAACATCCTGTTTCAGGTAAAAACATGCCAGGGCACAGTTTCCTTGTTACCTAATGGAATGGAAATAAGTTGCATCATGCTCTAATCTCTTGTGTGCACTTGTTACTCCAAACAGTACATGCGTGTCCCATCCACAGAACTTTCCTTTAGAACTTCTGGATACTTGTACATCTATAATAACTTATTACTTAATAATACCTTATTATTATTATTATTATTATACTTATTCTCCAGGTTAACCATGTAAAACATACCCCTGAATGACCTCGATGAATAAAACAAAAAAAAAAAAAAAAGGGACCCGAATTTGGCTTTTAGGTGAAACCAAAATTTGAACCAAGAAGGAAGTAGAGGTGTTTTGACTCTCTGAAGAATGGCGACACATGCTTGAGTCAGTTTAAACTGTGGATTGTGTGGTTAGGACTTAAGTGGAAAGAGGCGGTGACGGTAATGCACGGATGTGACACACACACAAGTGCACTGCATGCAAGCTTTGCTCTGCATGATGCTCACCGCATTGCGCAGGATGCCGTTTACCCCAGATGTACTGAGCTCCGGGAGTGTGTGTGTGTGTTTTTGGGGGGGGGGGGTTCTGCACATGCATTAATGAAGTTATAGGTCATCACACTGTAGCCATGGTGACTGTAAAGATATATTAAAGCCTGCGGTATTGATGAGCGGCTCCTTCTTGAAGGGAAATGGCTGAGGCATTTTCACACGGTTCTTCTCGATGCGAGCCACACTTCTGGACTGTGTGACTCGCTAATCACGACTGGCTGTGTTGGATGTTATCTACCCACTTGTAGATAACATCCATGTTCATTAACATGCTACATTTTCAGCTGTATAACAGAGTGCTCTTTGCATTTTCTAGTTTTGTGAATATTGTAACCCACATATGTAAAAGGAGTTGGTTTGGGGCTGTTTTTATGGTTTGGTCAAGGCCCCTTAGTGCCAGTTAAAGGAAATCTTAATGCTACAAACAAAGAAACATATTTTAGGCAACTTCCAACTTAGTGGCAATAGTTTGGAGAAGGCCCCTTCCTGTCTCATCCAAAGACTGTATGTAAGAAGTGGACGTAGTCATCGTGTGTTACCCATTGGTTTGTGTTCTGCCGTTCTGAAGCCTCAAATTTGGCGATTTCGCCATCGCCATCTTGGATTATGGCTGTCGCCATGTTGTTTTTTTGCAACCAATGAACAGAAGTTACCATATTTGGACTGAGGAGTGACGTAGAGACGCCGTATACGTCTCCATTTGACTCTAAATGGACCATAACTTACTAAATGTACATCATGCTGTCTTTTCTCGTAGACTTCCAAACAATCAAATTTAATTTTGCAACCGGAGGAGTCACACTCTGAATGTAAGTTTTAAAACACTTCCGCATCGGTTTAACTCGGCAGAACCGGAGGTTACCACCTGGTTACACTACAAACCACATGCACAAACCAACCCCAGCAAGAAATAGTCTTGCAGTTGGGAAAAACTTGACTGCACGGAGCGCTGACCTCATCCAACACCTCTGGGATGAACTGGAATGCCGACTGCGACCTAAATAAAAACATCTTGTGGAAAGCCTTCCTGGAGGAACGGAGGCTGTTACAGCAGCAGATTAATGCTAATGGTTGTGAAATTAGATGTTCAGCAATTATATATGGGTGTTATTTGCTCTCATCACATACTTTGTTTGGAACTCCACATACATTTGGCCATGTAGTGTACGTAAACACAGCCAAGCCGAACCGAATCATCCGATGATGTTGCGATGTTTAGACAGGGTCATTTTTTAGACCGAGACTGGTGATAGAAGCGTGCAAACTTTCTACCCAAAATTCCATTTTTTAAAAGTTTGTCCAAGAATTTCTTTTGCTGGAAGAAATCAAACCAGGATATCTCTGCTGACTTAAATGTAAATACTCCTATTCCTGCAACACCTACTAGCAGCAACGTGTAGCATTCATGCATCCTTGCGTAGTGCACTCTTCAGTAAAAACGCAATCGCTTCAAACCAGCGAGGTAGTCATGCTTGTCAAAATTGATATTCGATACACCAGGTGTCGCATTTCAGTTTGGTCCGCCGAAAATATACAAGTGAAACGATTCGTATCGCAACCAAGCCATTTATGAAGCAGTGGCTGAGCGAATGGGTGGAGGAGGATGCGAGTTTCGCTTGTTTGAGCTGGACAGAGCGATCGAACCTATATGTGGAAACTGAGACACATAATACCAGGTGTGAACGTAATCAGGTCAAATCATATCTGGATACGAGACGCATTGCAATGCAAGGTGTAGGGGGGGGGGGGTCTGTGTTATTCCGTCATGATTACCTTGAGGGCTTTGGTGGCCACCGTGGCGGCAGTCTTCATCATGCCGTCAGCAATGCCCATCCTGTCGGTGTTCTGGAGGAACGGTGTGACAAGGGTGACAAACTTGGCGCCACACCAAGGCTTAAGCAGATTCAGCGCCCAGAGCTCCGTGTCCCCCCCCAACGTTATCCAGGATCAGGTCGAATCTTGAGATGGAGAGGGGAAGGGTTTGTGAAAACAAGAGACACAAGCAAAGACACATACGTGTGAAGTCACTGGGCATTAAAGACACAGTACATGAAAGGGAGGATTTGTAGGTGAGGTAATAATTGGTGATTGAGTCCGAGTGTGATTAAGTTTGTTAGAAAATTGAAGAGCTCCCACACTAATGAGCTGACGCAGCTAGAGCAACAACTGTGTATGTAACAACTGCTTTTTGTTACATACACACACACCGATACATTGACACACCGAGTCCAATTAAACACCAACATGAACCAAAAGCGACTGCATGTGTGTGGGATCATCTCACTTCTCCAGTGCCCTGAGCGGCTCCTCGACAGGCCCGGCGGTGTAGTCCACCACGTGGTCCGCCCCCAGGCCCCTCACAAACCGCTCTGCATTCTGGGAGCAGGTAACGGTCACGTGGGCTCCCCAAGCCTTCAGCATCTGGACACATCAGCTGTTTTGTTGTTGCATCATTTGATGTAGAAACCATTTTTATTGTCATATACACATACACGAAATTTGACCTCTGCATTTGACCCATCCCTGTATATAGGGAGCAGTGGGCTGCCAATGATAGGCACTTCGACACATGAGTCGAGGATCGAACCGTTGACCCTGCGGTTACCAGACAACCCTCTTAACCCAGTGAGCCACAGTCGCCCGTCGCCCCCGTACCAAAAGATGTATACATTTGGGGTTATTTGTGGCGAGCAGAGCCAATTGTTTGAGAAGCACTCAGAATGTATAAATAATGAGATCAAGTGTTACGCAGTGTCTGTGTAATGGGAGCGACAGTATTCGGGTCACCAGGCAAAGTGTGTGGCACAGTCAGAAACCCAACGGGCCAAACAGACTTTTCATTACACCTCTGTATATTTCATGACCCGTGTATGATTACATGTTTGTATCTAAAGCAGGATCTTCTGAGCTCGATGCAGTTAATAATTAGCTTGGCATCATCCTCCTCTTCATCCCCTACCTGTATAGCAAATGTTCCCACTCCCCCGGACCCTCCAAGGATCAAAATCCTGCGGGGAAGAGGAAAAAAAAAAAAAAAAGCAGACATGCATGATATAAATGTGATGACTTTTTTTCTCCACCATTGCTGCACAGACGCTCCCCTCATTAGGGTTTCGTCTCAAATGCGCCTGCGGGCTTTAGCGCCTCAAGTTCCGCTGCCAGAAAGCTGCAGCACATCGCCCACAGGCTCATTACAGGAGGCAGGCTAACGGGGGCTAAGCTTAGAGGGAGCGCCCAGCAGAATAATTGGTTAGATCAAAGACAGGGAGCTTCTTTGGGGTGGACGGGGATTAACAGCAAGTGGAGATTGTGTAATTGTGTGTGTGTGTCAGTGTTTATACATCCCCTCACCGCTTCTTGGCACAGTTGTCCTTACTGAGCCCACCGGTGTTCACCAGTGCCGACCAGGCAGTGGTTGCCACATAGGGAATGGCTGCTGCCTCTACGTGGCTCAGTGACTTTGGTTTGTGGGATACCTGAGCACAACACACATCTGTAATCAGCGTTGAGACATTTACTTTTGAAATGCAATAGGTAAAAGATTACTAGTTGCCCTTTCAAAAATGTAATAAATACTATTCCAGTATTAATTACTTCATCAAAGTACTTTTCGAACAAATGTTTCAAACTTTATGTTCCATCATCACAGGTACATACGTAAAATGTGACACAAAATTGGGTGTATGTAAAAACTTATTTTTTGTATGCTGATGTTAAAAATAAAGATAATCAACAAATAAGGAAACTCAACACAGAAGTGATGCTGATGAAATAATAAACCTCCACAGAGAAAGAGGCAAACCTCAACAACATCATTAACCAACAATACCTCGTTGGCACTCAGCACCACGAATTCAGCCAAGCTGCCCTGCTTCCACGGTGGGATGGCCGCCCACACCTGATGGAGACACACGGCAACGCGACACTCATCAACCACAGACGCAAACAGCCGTGTGTCCACATGTGTAACGTCGCACAGTGAGTCACTATTTTTAGTGCTGGTGTGCGTGGTGGTGACATAAAAGCAGAATATGACTTCATGAAGTGCTAAATCTGTTTAAAGCCACAAAGTCACACAAACATCCAGGTGATTAAGACTAAAGTACCATCCAAACCAAATCCAAGGTGAAAACTAGGTGTTAAACAGAAGCATTATGAGATACTATCTCATTATTATGAGATGCGCATCTCATTATTATGAGATGCGTATCTCATTATTATGAGATATGCATCTCATAATTATGAGATATGCATCTCATAATTATGAGAGACTTAGTGACTGAGGGCGGGGCGTAGCGGAGCAGGGTTACGGTTTAAGAGGGGACCCTGTTAACTGGCGACCTTCAGCCAAACTCTAAGTCATTATTTTGAGATTGGATCTCATAATAATGACTTACAGGATCTTATTTTTTCCTCACAGTGGCGGAAATGGGCTTCCATACCTGCTCGTTCACAGCGCCATCAAACCATACTTCACACATTAGGCACACATGACTCACTGTGTGCAGGGAAAAGTTGTTCTGCCTAACGAAGCGGTTACACCTACTACTTTGCGTCGTTTACCTCATCCCTCTCTATGAAGTGCTTCACATCCAGGCCACACTCCATAATGACCCCAGACGCATCTCTCCCCAGGATGAGCGGGAACTCGCTGCCCGACTGCTTGATGTTCAGAGGGTCTCTCTTCATAGACATGGTCGCGGCGCCGTAGCCACCTGACGGGGAGAGAGCCTCAGACTGCAGATCATTTTGAGGTAATTTGCTGTGACGACACCACAAGAGAAACATGGTTTTTTTTTTTTCAAATGGTTTTAAAATATATTGCTGTTCCAGCACTCCAACCAGTACTTTTAGGAAGAATGCCAACAGACCGGTTCATACTGTAAGATACAAGTTAATGGCAGTCTCTAAACTGGCACTAAGCAACACAGTAATTGTATCCATCATTATGGGTCCCAGAATGAGTCCGAAATCTTGGGAAAAGTCTGTCTGGTCAAGGGGTTGAGGAGGCAGGACGTGGGTCTGGCAGTAAACACCTGCTTGGACAATGTTTCAGATGAAACTTGAGAGAACAGGCACTACCTGGAAGTCGTTGTATCACTTCAACAAAACAGGGGTCTGCAGAGTTACCTGAGGATCAAGAGCCTATTTTGAATCCAATATCATCCATTCTTCTGCAAAACTATAGAAGTCATTGGCATATGTTGTGTACGGAGGTTGCTTTTAAAAAGTTGCCTTGGCAAAGAAGACAGAGCTCAGATAAGATAAACTTCACGTTGTTGTGTTCATAGTCGTCCCTGTGTGATGACAGGCGTGCATGTTAAGCAGGGACGAAAAAGAACAATTACATTAGTCATTTAGCTTTTATTCAAAGCGACTTACAATAAGTGTATTCAACGGAACTACTAGTCACCAGAAGTCATAAGTGCATCTCCTTTTTTAAACAAGCATCTGAGAGCATAAACCAGAGCAAAAGTACAGCGCAGAAACAAACCAATACGAATACAATAAGTGCTAACATTCTGATATGCAATGCTCAAAGTGCAATCCTGCTTGTGAAACTTAAATTTCCACTTGAGCGACCTCAAAAACTCTCACTGCTTGTTTGCCCCTCTACCCACCCCCACACCATCCCACCACACACAGTGGTATAACTGGAGCCGACTGTGTGGTGGAAGACTGACGGGCTGCATGATTCATTTTAAGCCACATACAGTATAACCACAGCAAACATCAGTCTGGGCCTCTGCAGCTTCACTGCCGAGGATATATTTTCCTCACAAAAAGGAAAAAAACTATATTTATTCTTAAACTTGGATATGCAGTCACGTGTCAGATGTGGTTCTATTTGTTGAATTCATTGCCATTGTATTCGCTCTCTGGTGCCACTATAAGCATGCACACAGTCACACAGTCATGCACATTGTCACTCACCTCTCATGCTGACGTCAAGCGGGTTCAGTCCTGCTGAATGCACTCTGACAATGACCTCATTGGGGTAGTTGATGACAGGGAAACTGGCATTTCTAGTGAACCGCAATACATCATTGCTTCCATATTTATCGATGACCCAGGCAGGCATTATAGTCATGCTGATTTTGGTAGTGCTGAACAGTCTGGTCCGACTCCCATGCCAGCAAGCCGATGTGTTCACGCTTGGTAATTCACTGTGGTGAAACAAGCACCTGCTGGACACGAAGTTTCTCAAATAACTCATCTTTCAACTCTTCAAAGCTTAAATACTGTCAGGAAAAATGGTGGGACTGTAAATTAGCAGTCCCTGTTACAGACAGAAATACGTTAAACTGCACGGCCACTATGCTAGATAACAGTACATTGACGTTCTCTATAAGCCACGACTACATTCTGACTTTAAACATTTTGTTCTTACGTAAACATGTCTAACTTGCTATTTCGATCAATGCTGTAAGTCCAAAGTTAATGGTCATTTCAATTCAACGTCCTCTCCCTTAATGTTCCATTTACGCGACTGGTGTCTTTTAGCAGCCCCTCAGCCTTTTCACCAATCACAGCGCGGGTTTCTCATCGGCCGTCCAATCACAAAAGGCGGTGTTAGACGTTGTTTATCGAAACAAACATGGCGGCGCGCTAGTGCCGCACACCATGCAGAGGTTGTTGTTAATTTGAGAGGTTGTCACAGAATTTCTTTAAATATGCTCAGCCTGACGATAAGGGAGGTTAGTACGACTGTTTGCGTGTTCTTTGAGCTCAGTTCTCCGTGTTTGTTTCGTGCATTCACTCCGCGCTCCCGACGTGTTTGTGCTGTCAATTCATAACTAACATAGGTGAAATAATATCACAGTCACTACTTTTGCTCCCTAACTAAAACATAGATAGCTAAAATATATTGCCTGGCAACCGTCTAAAAACGTTCTATCTGGTTATTGTGCCGTCTGCATAGTGAGAGAAATTGTATAATACAGTATGTATGTCGTATAATATATAACATTAGCTAACCAAGACAGCTAACGTTAACGTCACTGCCTAACTATGTTGCTTTATAAAGCTTATATCGAAACATGCTTGTGCACTTACGTTGTCCCGTTAAAAAACTATATCCTGTCTTTCAGAAACAAAATAATGACGCAACTTAAATGTCGCTCCTAGTTATTGAGTAGTTAAGAAGTAAAGAGATATGTTTTACTCATAAGTAGCACTAGGTTTATTTAACCTTAAGTACAAAGTACTAGCAGATGAATGTAGCCTACTGGTGTCAGTGTTTGCAGAATGAACCTATATATTTCTGATTCCTATATTATTGGAATATGATTGATGACTTATTTGCGATTCAAACGGTCAAATAAATGTAGTGAAGTAAAAAGTAATAATATTGACTTCTGATATCAAGTGAATGAGAAGTATAAAGTAGCGTGAAAAATATAAACTCAAGTAGAATATTTCAAAATTATACTTAACTCCAGATATAAGACATTTTAGGGTGTGCTGCATTCAGGCTCCTGGTGTTGTCCATGCTGACTCACTGTCACTGTTTACGGGGACATTTGAATAGAGCAGAGACACTGCTCATGTTATCACTTGCATCTGTGCTTTTCCTACTATAACAAGTCAAAATGTCTGCTGTGAAAAGGGTCTATTGAGTAACTGAATAACCGAGAGACCCCACTGGTATCACATCATTGTTCTCCAGGTGTCTGCGGCGCTCAGGGAGGGAAGAATCTCCCCAACGGAGCTTTGTAGGAAGTGTCTGAACCGCATCAAAAAAACACAGCATCTTAATGCTTACATCACTGTGACGGAGGAGCTGGCCCTGAAGCAGGCTCGAGAAGCAGAAGCCAGACTGCTGCGAGGTGTGGACGCGTGAGCCTGTATGTCCACACATTCTGTGTTACAGAGTCATAGGTGTTACTGATCTCGTTTTTGTCTTCAGGTGCCCCCAAAGGTCCTCTGGATGGAATCCCCTTTGCAGTCAAGGACAACTTCTGCACAGAAAATATCAAGACCACATGTGCTTCCAAGATGCTTAACGGTCTGCTTGAACCTCAGTGAAAGTTGCTGTGTCTTAAATATTCCAATGATAACCTACCGTTACTTGTGCTACAGACTACACCCCGCCCTACAATGCTACAGTGGTCCAGAAGCTTTTTGACCAAGGGGCTGTCCTCATGGGGAAGGCCAACATGGATGAGTTTGCTATGGGGTAAGGCTATCGTTATCATTGTCAGAATAATAACAGTAACAGCTAGTCACAAATCCCAGTTTATTTGATAAATTGCTTGTTGAAACTGTTTTGGATGTGTACAGAAAGACACTTTTTTTTTTTTGAATACTGGTTGTCATCGTCTTATTTATGTATTTGTCTCACAGTGCGGGCAGTACTGACGGGTCTTTCGGCCCGGTGAGAAACCCCTGGAGCTATGCTGCTCCCTACAGAGAGAGGACAGGGGCAGCGCCCGACTCCGACTGGGTCGTCACCGGAGGAAGTTCAGGAGGAAGTGCTGCCGCTGTGGCCTCGCTCACCAGCTACCTGTGAGGGGAACACATTCGCTGGTGCCACAAAACTGTTACAAAGAAACGAAAAAAGGAAATATTTTATTCAAAATGGCGTTCATAAAATCAAAATGTGCTGTTCTGATAATTACTTGGCAGGGCTTTGGGTTCAGACACCGGTGGTTCGACCCGTAACCCTGGAGCACTGTGTGGTGTTGTGGCCCTGAAGCCCACTTATGGTCTGCTGTCCAGACATGGTCTCATCCCCCTGGTCAACTCCATGGATGTCCCCGGCATTATGACCCGCAGTGTCAGCGATGCAGCCATCGTGTTAGGTAGGAAACGAATGTTGAGCGTCATCCTGGCCCACATAAAAGAAGAAAAAAACAAAACGTTTCTTGCTCTTGATTATGATCATTCTACATATCCAGCTCTTTCTTTCCAAAGAGAGCTTTGAATTCAGTGGGACTTATCTGGTTAAATAAAGAACAATATAGTCCACATGTTGGTGCCAAGTAATGCACAGTAAATGTCCTTTTATTCTTTAGGTCAGATACATAAGAAGTGAAGTGTGGTGGGGCTAATTCAACGAAATATTTCCATACCCAGTAGCCATGCCATCCGGGTTCACATGGAATACTGATATTAAAGGGACCCTGCAGAGTTCTGACCACTAGTAGTGCTATAGAGCCGTGGTTCTACGAGTGGGTACAGATAATGTATGTAGCAAGCACACGGGCGGCACAATTCTCAACCTGCCGTGTAAATGATGCACAATTTAAAATGTTTAAAAGAACTATCCGTGTAATTGAAAGAATATGTGACGTGTAAATCAGTGTTGCATTTCCACATTGGTCATACTGCAATCAAACGATGGTACTAACCTGTCACACAGGTATCCTCCAAGGCCAAGATATGAGAGACTCAACAACAACTCCTACTCCCTCATCGCTGACAGAGCTACCCGAACACTTTGATGTCAAGAACATCTGTGTAGGCATCCCAAAGGTGAGTATAGCTCCTTGTAGCTCCATCTTTTCTGTATTATTTCAGCACTTCTCTTTGGTTTTGTAATATACAAATCTCTTTTTTTACTTGCATGTAAGCTGTTAGTAACTTAAGTTTTGTTGTAAATAGGAAACCCTCAAGCTGTCGGAGAACAAAACGTATGATGCCAAACAGACTTGTATTGTATATACATAAAATGATTTGAGGAAGTCAAAAACAATCAATTTGACTGGAGAAGGAACTGTTGGTGTTGTGATGCTTTTTGTTATTGATTTTTATCACCATATATCACCAAGACAAATTCTTTGAAGGGTTTATGTACATACAGATGGTTCTGATAAAAAGATGTATATTCATCTCTGTGAACACAAATACATTCATGTCCTCTTGTTTCCTGTGTCTTAATGTATGTCAGGAGTACCACGCCCCGGGGCTGTCTGAGGAGACTTTAGCGCAATGGAGTCGTGTTGCTGACATGTTTGAGAGGGCTGGGGTGCGGGTGAAGCAGGTATCCCTCCCCCACACCCAGCACTCCATCGTGTGCTACCACGTCCTGTGCCACGCGGAGGTGGCATCTAACATGGCCCGCTTTGACGGCCTAGAATACGGTACGAAACCAGTGCAGAACAAGGGTGTAGCGTGGAGCATTTCACATGTAGGGTGCCACATAGATCACACGGGGATGTTATTTTTACAGTAGAAAATCTGAAAAGGGCAAACGCCGTTGATTCCCGTCTCTCTTCTGTCAGGCCATCGTAGCGAGGTGGACAGCTCGACGGAGGCCATGTACGCCTCGAGCCGCCACGAGGGCTTCAACGACGTAGTGCGAGGGAGGATACTGTCTGGGAACTACTTCCTGCTCAAACAGTAAGACGACAGATCGAAGCTGCTTGCACCCGTCTGATTTATTTCACTAACTACACACCAGTGTGGAGCTGACAGTGTGCCACTGTATCATTTTCACCTTTTTTATGAGCACTTTTGGTCACTTGCCAAATTGTCTTTTATTAAATGTATGAGAGAATAAAACATTTTTTGCTGCATCCCCGCCCTCATTTTTCGGCAGGAACTACGAGCACTACTTTGTGAAGGCTCAGAGAGTGCGCCGGCTGATCACAGACGATTTCAAACGCGTGTTCAGCTCAGGCGTCAACGTGCTGCTGACGCCCACCACCCTGGCTGACGCGGCCCGTTACTCTGACTTCACACAGGAAGACAACAGGACGCGCAGCGCGCAGGATGATGTCTTCACCCAGCCTGTCAACATGGCAGGTACAGAGAGAAGAAAAGGGAGAGGTGGCCTTTAGGCAGAACTGTTAATGCATGGCATAGGAAGTGTGGGAGGATTCAAGAACTTATATATTCTGCATGCATGAATACACACACACACGCACATTTAAATACACCCACACACCAAAAACCTTTCAACCACAACTACTTCAGTTTAGTCAATGCTTCTTAATTTGCATCCTTTAGAAGAAGCTCATTGGATCACAAATGCTATCGTGAAAATAAGAGGAAATGAGTATGTTACTTCTCTTCTTTGCTTTGTTATTCTCTGATGGCAAAGGTAATCATAACCTGGTCAACCCATTTCAGCTCAGACAGAAGTGTACTTTAAAGGAGCGTGTTTACATTCAGTTTAACTTTTTTCGCCTGGTATCACTCTCCTAACTAAGCTTGAGATCCTAATCATTACCATACACTCTCCTTCAACTCTGTTTTTTACTTTGCCCCAGGTTTGCCTGCCGTTTCTGTGCCAACTGCTTTATCAAGCCGGGGCCTTCCCATTGGGTTACAGCTAATAGGCCCCGCCCTCCAGGACAATAAGCTGCTCAGCGTCGCCAGATGGATAGAGCAGAGGGTCGGGTTCCCCTCCATCAGTGACTGTGGAGATGAGAGCGGGAATGAAGCGGGAACGGCCAACAGAGAGCAGACTTCAGCTGTATGAAGAGACCTGTGGACACAAGGAACCCCACTGTTGACAGAGTCGCACATAATGGCCTGAAAGTGCCACTCTGATGGACACTCATGGCTTGTTCTATGTCTTTGCAGGACATTGTTGTTATCTCTGTCCACTTGCTCCTTGATGGAATGAAAATAATTACAACAAAGGATGGACTCCCTGCTCAACAACATGCATTATACTCTTAAGTGCAGGGACATTGTGTTTAATCTGTGACCTGCTGCCGTGTGTGTTGTCTGAAGGTGTTGCTATTAAATACATGCAAGATGGGTGATCTATTAATTGTGATATTTATTATTCGTCAATGTCCATGCTTAGACAGTTCTTATTGTTGTGTATTATTAAAGGCACTGAAATCGTTTTCAAGCTCAGTCGCCAAATGACCAAAAGACATGTGCTGCTTTTCTTTACCTGCATCTGTTTACCTGGTCATGCTAGCGGTGTGGCGCTAGAGATGGCAATGTCAGTCTCTTGGACAGTGTCACCACTTTGGTCCAGACTGAGATATCTCCACCATTGGATGGATTGCTATGACGAGTACATTTATGGTCCTCAGAGGATGAAGTGATTGCCTGACTTTACCATTAGATTTATAGTGAAATTTAAATTTGTCCACTACTTTGTTTTATGACTAAATACCTGCTAAACTCATGACATTCCCATCAGCCTCACCTGCTAAACATCAGCATGTTAACATGACTGTAGGCTTTTGTATTCAATTCTAAAATGAATAATTCTATATGGTTTTTTTTAAGTGAATTTGTACATCAGATCATAGCAAATAAAGAACTTCCTTATGCTTGTGAGGAAATTATACTCCTTTAGTGTCATGACATATCCTGAATAGGGTTGTGAAGAGGTCGTCCCATATCAAATGCGAAGACGTGCTCTTGAATTTCTCCACATATCTGCCAATTTCTGCAGACATTTTGTGGAATTTATTAAAAAACAATTTAGCAAATGCATCTTTTTCTGCAAGTGTATGTGTGCCTGAAGAAAGACAAATTGCAGAAGAGTTAGGTAAAGACTCTGCATAACCAAACACCAGCAGACTCCTCACCATTTTGGCTCCAGCAGATACTTTCCCTGAAATACTTAGATGGTCCACATTCAACTGTTGGAATCAGCTCAAGCAAAATCAATCCAGTCAGCCAATTACAGTACTGGATACTGGCCTAAACTTAGGTGCCACGATGAGTGCTCACAGATTCTCAATTGACTCCAGCTCCGCATAATCCTGACCCATTTCTCTGCAACATTTCTTGTGCCTGTTACATTCCGGATTAATCCTGATACTGTTATTCAACAGAGTGCACAAGATAGAACATTGTTTTGTTTGTGTGTGAATCAACAAGGTCTTCTGCAGAAAAAACATGTTTGTTAAAAATAGCATGTTCATAATTGGTGGAGCTTTGATGAGTTGATATGACTGCTGCTTTGTTGTTCACACGCTTAGCTCACCTTCACTGACAAACTCACCATTGATTATCTTATTTCCCTGTTCACTCCTGTGAAGATAACTTCTTCCTCTTTTTTATCTCTGTAATTTCATGTCATTCCAATTTATTTTAAAATGTGCACTGCAGGTAAATGCAGGATAACTGCCGCTTCACCCTGCTTTATCTTAAATAAGGTGCTGGAAGTATCAAAAAAGCTCAAACTTGTAGAATAGATAATCTATGGAGAGAAAACTTCTTTTTTTTAGCTTTTGGTCTAAAGGACCTTCATCAGAGCAGACATGGTTCAGCTGGAATGCCAGGTGTAGAAACAAATAACACCACGTGTGCACTGCAAAAATCAGTTTTCTTGAAACGGTAAAGTTTGTTATATATACATTTTTTTTTATTTTACAAATTTTGCATTGTAAGGGGGAGTAGCCGTGGCAGATTCTCTCACTTGTTTTAAGATAAATACAATAGAGAAATTAGTAGGACAGGTCACTGTTTCACCCTCTTCCCTAATTTTGTTATAGTGCTCATGACTCCCCAAATCCTGTTTCTACAATTAGCATGCAGCTAGCATACTTGCTAAATTTAGCACAAAACCTATTCTACATCAGCCAAAGGGAGGACTACTCAAAGCATCTATTTGGGACTCTAGCCAGCCACGGCAGGCCACATTAAGACAATTAGGAATAAGCTTAAGAGGGTAGTTAGAGCTGGTGCCCATGTTTCTGCAGGGGCATTTGCAAATAGTTGACATTTTGGAAAGTGCTCTTATTCACATATTTTAAATGTGGGCAGAGCCAGGCTGGCTGTTTGTTTCCCCCTTGCTTCCTGGCTTTATGCTAAGCTGTGCTAATCACCTAGCTGGCTCCCAAAGTGTGGAACCCAATAGCAACAGTTGCTTTGAGGATCCTTCTGCTCCCCCATAACACAAAAGAATAGCCATGGCCCTAGTCAAAGTCATTCTAGACGGTTACAACAAGAAGGAAAAGTTACAACATGGCTTCTAATCCGTCTGTAGCGTTGGTATCTAGATAAGAAACGTGTGGAAACCGACGTGGCCGCTGAAAACATAGTTACTGGAAAAGTATGAACATAAAATGCTTCAGAGTGTACAATGCCCTCAAATGTGACGAACCCAAACGACTGCATTTAAAGCAGCTGTTCCTGAGCAGACTGAGATGGAACAGGGAAATGGGACAAATGCTCCCTGACGTATAATCTGCATCCTGGACACTGGGCTTTGAACTGGATAGATATCATTTATGCGTTAGATGGACACATACTGTAGAATGACATAAGGAACAGAAAAAGAGGATGTGTTGACATGCAGCACTCTGACTTGGCGTAAAAACCAAGATGACAGTTGCTGCAGTAACCAGATAACTGATCCGTTATTAACTGCTGGTATTGCACGGAGTTGATGTTTGCAACTTCACATTATGTTACATTCTAGATGTCAAAAGCGGGAACAGAAAAAGAGGATGTGTTGACATGCAGCACTCTGACTACGAGCAGAAATCTGTGTGCACGGGAATCATCAAATGTTTGGTTCCGCATTTGTACAAGATGTGAAGATAGAGCACAACTCAACTTCCCTGAGGTGACGATGCGTGCCGCGAAGGCTGTTATCGGTGCAGTAAAATGAATAAGTGAAAGGATCTTTATAATTTCAGGGATAATAAAAGGTATACAACCTCAATATCAAAGCATGATTAATGGTTTTATTCCTGTTGCTACACTGTGCCAAGTCTCTGCCACCTCTACTTGACTGGCGAGGAACACAGGGTCAGCATCAATGTGTTCCTTTAAAGTCATACAAGTTTTCCCTTTGATGTTTTGGATTGCGGTGTGAGTTGCACATACACCGATTTCAACGAGAGCGATGCAGTTTCTTCAAAACACATGCGAGACATCAGAGAGTTGCTTCCTGTCCCTTTCCATGCAGCCGCTGATTTGAAATCGTGTGAGCGTGTGTGATCTTACTACTTTTTTTGCTTATTGGTACGGTATCTCTAGGTTGCCAGGTTTGTCTGTGTCCCATCACTCTCCTTGGTCTGGATGTTGTCGTCCAGTTTGTATTTAGTTCATAATTTTTTTAATCACGTTTAGAAAATGTGCCACTTGTCATTGTCCGTCATTGTTTACTATGGATGCATTTTTATTTGTCTTTCTCTGTTTGTAACAGGTGGTTGCTTCCCTGTCCATTAACACTGACAATAAGGGATAAAAGACTCAAGACAGAATCATCTGTGATGAATTCAATGAAAACAGATGTAGATATGAATTTGAGGATATCTTAGCCTTTATTAACCTAACGACAACAAAACGAGCCTACAGGCATGCTAACGGCTCTGTAGGCTACTTAGGCACAGCGTTGATGTGAGCTAAAAGTTAATGTCTGCATGCTAACATGCTCCCAATGACATTGCTGACATTCCTAAGTTTTGTAGATATGTTTACCACGTTTGCTGTCTTACTGTAGTTTCTTAGCATGCTAGCGTTTGCTAATTAGCACTATACACAAAGTGCAGCTGAGGCTGATGGGAAGGGCATTAGTTTAGCAGACGATGATGCTAAATGAAAAATGAAAGGTCCTGTGTGTAGGATTTAGGGGGACCCATGAGCAAAAAGTGAATACAATAGTTTTATTAGTGCATAATTACCTGAAACTATGAATTATAACATCTGCCTTGGTACTACAGATGAAAAATAGCCTCTTGGCTAACTCTGGCACATTTACAGCAATGTTTTTATTAATGTGCACTGTCCCTTAGCAAATAAACCAATAAATAAAGAAAATAGTGATATTGTGAGCTTAAAATGAGCCCTTCATATCTACATAGGGGGCCGGTCCTCTTCACAGAGTCCGCCATGTTGCACCGCCATGTTTCTACAGTAGCCCAGAATGGACAAACCAGACATTGGCTCTCGAGAGACCCTTTGACGTTTTTTTTGCATTACCTGAAGGCCACCGTGTAGTTCTCCGACACACTTTGAAAGGGAGGAGTGAGCGAAGGGTTGTTCAGTCGGTTGCAATCTGCAACATCACCACTAGATGCCACTAAATCCTACACACTGCTCCTTTCAGGAATCACAGACTTATCACAATTAATCCTAAATGGGACACGAAAGCGTGCACCAAACCTCGTGGCAAACCATCCAATAGTAGTGGAGACATTTCAGTCAAAGCTACTAATGTGAACCTGCTAGAGCCGGGGGTTCACCACAATTAGTAGTGAACCATAACAGACTGTACAAATCAGTCTACTCGATGTTGAGATATTTATCAGCATAAATGAAATCCTTGATCGCTTGGTGGCACTAGAAGATCAGTTCATTTTTCTGTGGGCATCATACCAAATGTCATGGTTATCAGAGGGACACTGCCATGCTGCTAGCATAGCTAAACAAAAACTAACAGTTGTACAGAAATTCTGAGTTGCTCTTAAATGTACTTTTCCACTCTGTTACAAAATCATAACGGCACATCACTGAGAAATTATGTTCTTCACTTCCCCAAAACAGTGACTGACTTCACTGTTCCGAGTTCTCCCACGGTCCTCATTAAAAACAAAAAAAAAAAAGACAGCCAGTGTGCAGAAGCAGAAGCTACACAGCAACCCCCTTTTAAGCCATTAGGTGCTGCGAGTGGCATGCTGGGAAAGGTGTAGCGATATGTTTTCCAGCACATGATAGCCTGACATATTGATAAGCAAGAACTCCTCTGGGCTGTTTGTGTTGGAGGCACTGTGACGTGAATGCTGAGTCATGGTAATAAAAAGAGTTTTTATTGTGAAGGGTTTTTATGAAATGTTGAACACTCAATACGTGTGACATGTTTGTGTGCTTAGTGGAGTATTTCTGTCTTAAGTTTTTTTGTACCTGTTTGGAGAAGAGCAAGAGAAGTGTGAGGGGTTGTCCACCCCCAATCACCTTCTCCCTCCTCTTGACCCTTTTGTTGTGATTTATTTGCTCCCTATCTGTGATAGGCCATGCCTGAACTCCATTGTCACGTGATCTGGTTGGGATGCAGTTCCCACAAAGATCAAGAGTGGGTGCGAAGGGGGATAGGAAGAGAGGGAGGGAGGAAACGGGTGAATTCCAGCAGTTGCTCCGTCACAGACACCCCCTTTAAATGGCAAAGCCCCGGCACCAGGTGGAGGGGGGGGGGCGGGCTCACCACCTTTAAATGATTCACTCTCGGTCAATTATTAAAGTACTTTACATTTGTCTACTGCTCACTTCAGTCTGTGTAGTGATAAACTATTTACTGTTGGGACCGTGTCCAGGTGACGCTACAAATTGTTTACTTAACCCTGTGGTTTTACATCAGGGTTGAATGGTCAGTTGTCCAGTATGCCAACGATTGAAGGACTTAGTTATTGTTCTCAATGACAGACAGTGGTCCCCCTGATAGTGAGTCACGCTTTGAATTAAGTTTCCAAATTGTAGTGAGTTAGCGTTGAGAAAGTTACCCTGCAATCATACCAGAGTGTATTTACTGTTCAAAGCAGACCCGATAACATTGCAGTCATTTAGCAGACGCTTTTATCCAAAGCGATTTACAATAAGTGTATTCAACATCGGTTTTCGAGAGAGCTAGTCACCAGAAGTCATAAGTGCATCTCCTTTCTTCAAACAAGCATAAACCAGAGCCAACGTACAGTGCAGAAAACAAATGCAATAAGTGTCAAACTAATATGAATACAATAGATGCCAAGTAAGTGCTAAGTGGAAGGCTAAGCCTTCTTGAAGAGGCGAGTTTTCAGCCTGCGCTACACCAGGCGTAGTGATTTTACAGTACGACCACTTTATACACCTCTGAAGTAAACATTTTAATCTAAAAGCAATCATCTTCAGGTCCAAGTATTTGTCCTAAAACACTATACAAGCTTTTTATACACCTGCGGCAAGGAGAGCGGAGGAAACCGAGCAAGAGTCCATGTAGTCACTTATAATTCAACGATTTTATTGGACATACAAAGAAGTTAAGATCTAAAAATCACATTTACAGTTCCAGAAATGTAACTTTTCTAAACTAGTTCACAATCACTTTTTAGGCCTTTGGAGCCTGGAATCAAGTATCAGAACATGTTTTGTATTTAAAGCCATGAACATGATCTCCCACCCCCATAAACAGACTAAACCAAGAAGCCGGTGGTTTCCGGATAAAGGGGAATTTTCATAGTGGTGCGTAAAAAACGCAAAACTGAGACAGCTCTAAAAGCGCGCGCTGCCTCAAAATTAATTCCAAAAGTGACAAAAAAGAAAAAAATGAAATCCAAATTGTGTTGAAGAGGAGAGACTTTGGGAGTAACGTTGCGTGCCCAGTCCAGCCGTCTTGACAGTGCGCTAACATCGGTCCGGTCGTTAAGACCACCCGTGGAGCAGAGAGGCCGCGACAGCCAGCGGCAGCAGCAGCGTGAAGCAGTCTGTCGTTCCGGAGCCGCTCCCTTTGGGTGGTATGGTCCCAGTCGCGTTGTTGGGAAGTGCCAACAAAGTTGAAGTTCCGTTCACGGGGGAGCCTGCGGGGCCCTGGGCCTGGACCACCTGCAACATGCAAGACCACCATCACCTCCGGTTATTTTAACGTGAGCAGGTCTACAGAACATTAAACCCACTAGTCCGTAGAACAAGGGCGTAAGATCACAATATTTCAGCCGGTGGACAAATTTAACATTTACAAAAAAAAAAAAAAAAAAAAAAAAATAATCTTAAAATCTCTAAATACCCATTACACACTCAACCAAAACCTTAGGCGAATGCTCATCGGAGTTTAAAACTGTTTAAAGTTTAACACATTCATCAACCCCTGACACTAAATCCTCAGAGTCCTAGAAAATAAAGTGTAACTGGAGCGTAAAGCCTTGGGTCCCAGGGATCAAATTCAAGTTACTTATTCCCTATAACTTGCCGCTAAAAAAAAAAAAAAAAAAAAAAAAAAAACCAAAAAAAAAAAAACCGCATGATAGATTAGAATATAGATAGATAGATATTTAATAACCATTTATGTTTAGAATAAGCCCATTACCCACAGTGCCAGCAGCGCTTTTAACCCTCAGCAGGTCAATATAAGGTTAATATCCCGCTGAAGTTAGAAACAAAGCGAGGGAGAAACAGAAGAAAAAACAACGACTGACCTGTGATGAGATGAGATGGAGATGGAGAGCCAGCAGCAGAGCCCCGAAGTAAGCCACACACATCTTATTCATGTTGGCGTGGAGAGTGGTCGAAGGCTGCGCTCGCTGCTCCGGTTAAGTCCTCTCGGTTAGTCGATGAATAACACGGGAGATGCAGCCGCGAGCTTTATACCCCTGGTGACATCATCAGCCACTCAATACCACCTGCTGTATAGCCTGTGTAGTGTTGCATTCAGGCGCCGTCGGAAATATATTGATATCAAGTTAAGCGCACGTGAACGACTTTAATTTACACAGTCCAGTTAGTTTGATAGGGCAGCTGTTTGTCAGCAGACATTTAGGAATGGAAGGCAACAGCTGGAACAACAGTCCAACACGACACTAGCTCCACAACCACCACAGAATATTTATGACAATGAAAATATTTGTGTGAAATAATCTGTGGCCTGTAAGCATTAGTTTTATTTAGGACTGCAGAGTTTTAGTTAGTCATTATTGTGTCCACTGCATGCTAAAACGGAAAACGTTATTTTAAATAGGCCTACAGGAGACAAAAATCAACTCCACCTTTGTCAAGCGAGACGCAATAGCATGATAAATATTCCGGTGGAAACCTTCAAAATAAGACAACCAAACCACACTGCCGCTAATAGTTTTTCCACCCATGTGAGTGTGGGCTCTATTGCGTAAGGACTCGGAGATACTACTATCAACATAAGTAGGCTACTGACATGACTATCATTGGAAGCGTATATTAAAATTTATAATTTTCGAAATAAAAACACTCAACCAGACAACTCTGGTTTTATTTACCATAATATCACTTTTGATGTATATGAGCTTACAATTCAATCAAACAGTTAAATCACAAATCATAATATTCAATATTGTTTCCCTCAATGGGTTATAAATCTCTTCATTCAGCAACCGCTTGCTTACATTAGTATAAATGCGACCTCATTTCAATTTTGACCGAACGGAGTTCCCGTAGTTGTCCTTGCTTCAATTTCTTCCGGAAGAAACAAAGTATTGCGCAAAGGGCGGAATGTAACAACGCCACACTGTCACAACTCAGAAACAACCAAACAGTCTTCAGTTTTTTGTGGTTTTGCTTGTCCACAGAGCTACATCGCCTCTCCATGCTGCTGTGCCGGGTTTCGGCAGTAAGCCAGACGCTAGCGAGATGGGGACGGAGGTCACAACGGGGAGGCGGCCTCCTCCACCGTGCTCTCTCCTTAAGCTCCAGCCGCTGTCACGGTGTAAGTTCAGGCGAAGCCGGCGCTCAGCCCGCAGAGGCAGGCTCTGCTCAGGGACTGTACCGAGACACAGTGCTCCTTCCCCGGTCTGAGTTCCCAATGAAACTGACTGGACAGAAGCTGCTGGACCGAGAACTCCAGATACAGCAGGTAGGACAAACCATTGAGGCTGACCCTCTACTCAAAAACACGTCAAGTGAATTCCCCCACTGCTCGCGGTGAACTGGACACATTGTAGCACACGACTGTAATTATTCTACAACTCTTTAAGGTTTATTCTTCAGGCCGGCATGCATCTGATGCGTCGAGAGGCAATTACCCCCACCCCTTGTAAAACAGACAGGCACCTTTCTGAATTATGCAGACTGAAAATAATGTCTGACGGATCACAGCTGAAGTATTGGATTATGCTAGGCGTCGCATAACTGTGACTTTGTGACTTATCGCCCTCTTGGTGGGTACTTAGATTTGCACAGCTCAAATCTAACTGTCTATAGTATCTCGATGGTTAAACACTGCTACAGAGAGCTCGATATCAATGATGCATTGTTTTTTGTCACATGAAAAATATGAATTCTCGCCACTTTTGCAGGATTGTGGGTTTGCAGGTTTGTACTCCTGGCAAAGAGAGAGGAAGGCCAAGAAGGAGTTCTGCCTACACGATGGACCTCCGTATGCCAATGGAGACCCACATGTAGGACATGCGCTCAACAAGGTGATCACATCAAGTTTCAGATATCCCCTCTGTTATGGTGCATTCTAACTTTTTGACAGCCTTGGACACCTGCAGCACCATTTAGTCATTGTTGTAAAAGCTCTAAGCTTTTCCTGGGTGGCAATGACACTGCCGAAATAAACATTCAATTCACTCTGTCTTGTTTTTGGTCTAGATCCTGAAAGATATCCGAAACCGTTTTGAGATGCTGAGGGGGCGGCAGGTCCACTACGTCCCGGGTTGGGACTGCCATGGCCTGCCCATCGAGCTGAAGGCTCTGGGGGAGTTGGGGACCAGCGGCCTCAGTCCCCTGCAGATCAGACAGAAAGGTAAAGCTGGACGGAAAGCTGGACGAACGTCACCGCTGTCAGATCTTTGCAGCTGCTGTAATGTTTTTATCCCTTCCAGCGCGGGAGTTTGCAGAGGGGGCCATAGCTCGTCAGAAGGCTGCCTTCCAGCGCTGGGGGTTGATGGCTGACTGGGACCAGTGCTACTACACCTATGATGGGGCCTATGAGGCTGCTCAACTGAAAGTCTTCCAAGAGATGCACAGCAAGGTTGGCAACGATGCGCTATTCAGAAAACACTTTTATGACAATGTGAAAAGGCTCAATAACCTAAATAGTGACATAATAGTTATTGCAATAGGGGATTACTGTAGTAAACACATGGATGGGATTAAAACAGAATTTTGCCTCTCAGTAGCTTATTACTCTAATATTTATTTTTTCTTTGTGGTTTTCAGGGGTTCGTCTACCAGGACTACAAGCCAGTCTTCTGGTCCCCTTCATCAAGGTGCCTGAGTTAGTTTGCTTATGCAGAGGTTGCTTCATAGAGGCATCAATATTTATAAGCTATTCTAGATCAGCACATGATAACTGACTTGGCGACTGTGGTCTGCTTTGATCCGGACTATGGGCCCTTTGCAGAACGGCCCTGGCAGAGGCAGAGCTGGAGTACAACCCTGAGCATGTGAGCAGAGCCGTTTATGCCACATTCCCCCTGAGCACACTGCCACCTGCGATAGCCTCAGAGGGTAACACACGCACATACAGTTAATTCATTTATTTGAAAAGATTATACTCCTGACCTGGTGAGACATCACCATACATCACTGTGTGTGTGTGTGTGTGTGTGTGTGTGTGTGTGTGTGTGTGTGTGTGTGTGTGTGTGTGTGTGTGT